TTTTTTCAACGTTTATTTATTTTTGGGACAGAGAGAGACAGAGCATGAACGGGGGAGGGGCAGAGAAAGAGGGAGACACAGAATCGGAAACAGGCTCCAGGCTCTGAGCCATCAGCCCAGAGCCCGACGCGGGGCTCGAACTCACGGACCGCGAGATCGTGACCTGGCTGAAGCCGGACGCTTAACCGACTGCGCCACCCAGGCGCCCCTGGTTTTTACTCTACTAGAGATGTGAAACTATTTGAAGGGTTTTCCGCAGAGAAAGTCATGATCTGACATTTCAGACGGCTGGAGAGACTAGCCTAAAGGGCCCGAGGGTTTCAGCCAAGAGACTGAATTGGGGCGATAGTTGATAGGGCCAAAGCAGATTTTTTTTTTTTTTAAAGTTTTATTTCATTTTGCGCACTTCAAGAGACTGGTTAGAAGGCTTTTGAAATAATCTAGTCAAGAGAAGACAGGGGGCATCTGGGTGGCTGGGTCGGTTAAGCATCTGACTCTTGATTTTGGCTCAGGTCATGATCTCACGGTTTGTGGGTTGGAGCCCTGTGTCCAGTCTCTGTGCTGACAGCACAGAGCCTGCCTGGGATTCTCTCTCTCTCTCCCTCTCCCTCTCTCCCTCTCTCCCTCTCCCTCTCTCTCTCTCTCTCTCTCTCTCAAAATTAATAAATATTAAGAGAGAGAGAGAGAGAAGACAGGCTCAGTCCAGGGTGGTAGCACTGAAAAAATAAAGAAGTAGTCAAGTTCTAGACACATTTAGAAGGGAGCACTGACAGATTTTTGCTGATTCCTAAAGTTTTTTTCTTTTCTCAAGCAACTGGAAGATGCAATTCGTAAAGTGAGGAAGACTTAAATAAAAGCAGACAGGAAGGGAGGAACTTGGGAATCCATTTGGGGGCATGTTAACTTTGAGCTGCCTGTTAGACACCCAAGTTGGAACCGGATATAGAAGCCTGGGGCTTGGGGGAGAGGTCCAGGCTGGAAATAGAATTTTGGGAGTCCTCAGAATAGGTAAAATCTGAAGACTCAATGAGAACATTTGGAAAGTGTTAATGAAGCGTAAGGTCAGGGATGAGCCTGAGGCCCCCAACGCTGAGAGGTCAGTCGGGGAGATAACAAGGAACCAGCAAAGGATTCTTTTTTTTTTTTTTTAATTTTTTTTTCAACGTTTATTTATTTTTGGGACAGAGAGAGACAGAGCATGAACGGGGGAGGGGCAGAGAGAGAGGGAGACACAGAATCGGAAACAGGCTCCAGGCTCTGAGCCATCAGCCCAGAGCCCGACGCGGGGCTCGAACTCACGGACCGTGAGATCGTGACCTGGCTGAAGTCGGACGCTTAACCGACTGCGCCACCCAGGCGCCCCTAAGGATTCTGAAGAAAGGAGCAAGGGTGCCATGGGAGACTGAGGAAAGCATCATGTGCTAGAAGTCCAAGGATAGAGGATGGACTGATGCCGCCATAGCAGCGAATGGTTCAAGTAAGGTTAGTGTTGGTGATTTGGACATGGGCATCAGCACCACAGAGGTAACTAGTGGCCTTGGTAAGCGCTCTTGAAGCAGAGGTGGGTGGGAAAGTCTGACTGGAGTGGTTTCTAGGAAGAATGAGATCTAGGAAGATCTCTGGAAAGAATGGGACTGTAGAAAGGATCACGCGTATAGACAACTTTTCCATGAAGTTTTTCCCCCGAGGATGTGCAGAGAATTAGGGTGATAGTTGGAAGGGAATATAGGATCGAAGCAGATTGTTTTGTTCTTTTATTTCATTTTGCATAATTCATTTAACCTGTTTGTGTGCTGATGGGAATGATTTGGTAGTGAGGGAAAACTTGGTAATGCAAGTATGTGGGACAGGGTAATAGTGACAATGGCCAGCCGTTGAATCCAAACCAGATAAGAGGGGAGTGAGAAAACTGGGGTGGGGGTGGCAGGGGCAGTGGTAGGGGAGGGACCCTGTAAAAGTGGTCGGATCAATGGAATGATGGATGAAAGGATTGTTGGAACCAGCACAGTAAGGGGAGTGAACCGGAAAGAGGGAGGTACTGGTTGAAAAGCCAGATTGCTTGCACTGAGATTGCGTGAGGGACAATTTTGAGTACATGCAAAAGGCCTGGGGCAGCTTCTCAAATGGTAACGTCCACGCGCACTCTCAGGAGATCTTGGCAAAATGCACACTGATTCCATTGGTCTAGGGTGGGGACCATGAGCCTACATTTCAAACAAGTTGGGGGTAGAATGGGTGAAGATGCCGATTATTTTTACTCTTGTTCATCGTCTTGATACCCAAACCTCCGTTAATGCAACACACACACACACACACACACACACACACACACACACACGAAAACTATACTAATCTTGCTAGTGAATATATATGAAAAATCTAAACAAAGAGGTATGAAATAGAAGTACAATGACAGTATGTTAAAAGCAAAGTCCACCCCAACCAAAGACAATTGAGAAGCCCTTAGAAAGGCCATAGCTGTCTAGGGACTGTCTCTGCTCACAGAGAAGTAAGCTGACAAGCAGTCCAGAGCAAGCCCTGGACCTGGGGAGTGGCTGGTTCCCGGAGCTCTCTCTTTGCTTTGCTCTGGTAACAGTGGGAGGGAGGTGTCCAGCAGTCTCAAGTTTTATCTAATTTTGAAACTTTGTTGCATGAGGACTTTACCCCCATAGCATTTTTGTGTTTGTTTGCGTTTTTAACTGTAGTCCCAAAGGAAGGCCTTTGGTGTCCTCACATTCTGCAAAAAACAACTCAAGACCCAACTTCCCACAGAATAAAAGAATGTAGGGGGTTGGATAATCCCATATGAAGGGGTTTGATTCCTTTGTTTCAAGGGTCAGAGCAGGGTTCCGGATTAATCTCTTAACTGGAGTAAACCCGCTGCAGTGGCAAGATGGCAGATATTTCTGGAGCAGGGGTTTGTAACAAATTCCAAAGCCCAAGTGGAAGGAGTCATGTCATTTGACTGCTTGAATTTAGCTGGGAGACACCTTCTCAATCCTTCCATAGAGCCTTCTGGAAAGCCCTTTCTATGAATATATTTCTTTGTAGGCACAACCTCTTTCTGGGAAATTCTTCTATGTCTTCATCTTGAAACCCCGTTCACAGCCCCCCCCCTCCCCTCTCCCTCCCCACCCCCACCTTCCTGTGCAGTGTCTACAGATCTCAGGATCATAAGGCAGGGTCATCATGTTCAAGGAAAATCAGTCAGTGACGGTCCTGTGTAAATGTCTTGTCACTTTCATTTCTCTTCCTCTCCTCTGTTGAAGCTGGGCCATCAGATGAAGGCACCTCCCTAGCCTTCATCATATCATCTGTGAAAGGACTTTGGAGCCTGACTCAGAGCTTCCTCTCCACCCCACCCCATGCCTGACTTCTTCTCCTGGGCAACATAAGTGCCACTCACCTAAGTATGTTGGATCATAGTCTCCTCGTATGGTCCGCCCCAGTGACCTTCACTTCCCTTCCACTTCAACAACTGCTTGATTGGCCCTACCATAGTCTCTGCAGTGGCCAGACTCTCCCTTTGAGACTTGAACTCTGTGACTTTCCTGGGTAACTGCTCCTCCCATCCACCCACCCTCTCCACACCTTCATACCCAGCAAACCTGCTCTAAATCTCAATGAAACCTTAGTTATTCAACAAAGGCTTTTTGGAAGCATATAATTACTGAGCATAAGCAATGGAAATGAAACACTGAACCATCCACGGTCCCTGCTCTCAATGAGCTTATAGTCCAGGAGAGACACACAAGAAAACTGGCAATTACAGTAGGCTGAGACCTGAAGCATAAATAAGATCTAGGCAGTTGAAGATGGGGGTGAATGTTCCAGGAAAATCATGCAAATACCATGAAAGCAGGAAAGCACAGTGAATTTGGGGAAGTGCATATGAATAGCTCAGTATACAGAGCTTAGAGTTTTCCTTTTTTATGCTTTTTAAAAAATTTACATCCAGGTTAGTTAGCATATGGTGCAACAATGATTTCAGGGGTAGATTCCTTCCTTAATGCCCCTTATCCATTTAGCCCATCCCCCCTCCTACAACCCCTCCAGCAACCCTCTGTTTGTTCTCTATATTTAAGAGTCTCTTCTGTTTTGTCCCCCTCCCTGTTTTTATATTAGTTTTGCTTCCCTTCCCTTATGTTCATCTGTTTTGTATCTTCAAGTCCTCATATGAGTGAAGTCATATGATATTTGTCTTTCTCTGACTAATTTCACTTAGCAAGAGCTTAGAGGTTTAGAAGAGAATTTTTTCACTGCGATTTTTCCTCAGCTTTATTAAGATATTATTGACATACACATAAGTTTAAGGGGCACAATGCGATTAGATACATGTGTATGTTGCAAAATGATCACCACGGTCTTATTTCTTAGGAATGCATGATCCTACCTTATTCAGGTGTTCAAATCTCCTGACGACGTTTAATATTTTGCCTTCCCCAAGTTGAATCTAAGTGATACCTTTTGCACCTAAAACGGTCTCTTGAGCTTTCCCAAGGGAAAAACCACAAATGATTTGTTCTTCCATTTGTTCTTAACAAGAGAAATGCTAGGGCGCCCGGGTGGCTCAGTCGGTTTAGCGGCCAACTTCGGCTCAGGTCACGATCTCACGGTCCGTGAGTTCGAGCCCTGCGTCGGGCTCTGTGCTGACAGCTCGGAGCCTGGAACCTGTTTCAGATTCTGTGTCTCCCTCTCTCTCTGACCCTTCCCCATTCATGCTCTGTCTCTCTCTGTCTCAACAATAAATAAATAAACGTTAAAAAAAATTAAAAAAAAAAAAAAGAAGAGAAATGCTAGGGAGAGTTGGGTTAACTTGATGCCTGTTCTTGATGAGTTGTATAGGAAGAGATGCTGCTTAGCCTGTCCTGGGTTAAATCGGTATGGTCAGGTTTCTAGAACCGTATGTTGTGCAGGGAATTCCCAGAGCTTTACCAACGCCCTTGCTGGCCCTGACATTTTTGGTGCTGATGTAGCTAATAGTAGACGACCAAGGTCAATATGGTCAGTTAGAATTTCAGATATTTCTCCAAATGGTGGTTTGCTTACAACTTGCTTAATTTGAATCTAACATCTCTTCTGGTGGCGGTTTCCAACAGGAACTCACATCACTTAACTGTGGAGTTATATTCGCAGGCCAATGTTTAGAACTTATTCCAGATTTCCAGAGTATCTCTACTTGACATTCTTCATATGTTCTTAGTGTATTCTATCTGTATGTTGAGTAAACTCATGGAATATTATGTCAGGATTATTCAATGTTATATCTGCAGATTTATTTTCTCTGTGAAGGTGATGTTCTTCCATTTTTATGAATTAGATACAACATCTGCTCCTTTTGGAAAATACAGTAAGGCATTATGTTAATTGACATATTGTGTCTACAAGTTTGTCTGGATTGAGTTTATTATTTTGTTTTGCGTGCCACATCAACAGCCAGTGTCCTTGTCTGTTGTGCTGTTCTTGTTATGAACTCCCAAGGGATAGTACACTTTTGAAAATTGTCAGTAATAGGTTAACTACAGACATTTTATTTTGTCATCGCAGATAGTTTTTTGTTGTTTGTTTTCTCTGACGCTTCCCCGAAAGTACTTGCAATCAGCTGCATTGTAGGGCGAATGTCCTCGAGGCACGTTAGGTTGCCTTGTAGCTGGCCTTTCCTCCAGAATCTGAAGAAGGCCCGTGAGCTAAAGCCCCATAACTTGGCATCAACCTCAAGGGGTCCAGCACACCGCCGCAGACCATGCATGGGCTGGAATTGTCCCTTGACAAGCTGCTGCTGAGCCGCGAGGGAAGTCTGACAAAACGCTTGGGTCCCATGTGCTTTTGAAGACTATGGACATCTTAGCTTTGAGAAACTCAAGAAGGGATATTGCTAGATTTTCTTCTGTTGACCCCCGGAGTCCACTGGACTGGTTAATTCCCAAGATTTAACTCCTGGCTCCTAACTCTAATAGGACTACTATAGTATTATTTCTCTATTTGGGGCATCCCTCTTTGAAGATGTCTGATCTCTAGGACTCTAAAACCATTGACCCAATTTGCCCCACCTCTCAAGAGACGGCTCACCGATTTTACAGGAACAACCCCGGCAAGAATCTCGGAGGAACTATTTCTTAGGCCTTGCTTCATCCCGCTTGGGAGGTGTAGGATTACTGAGTTATTCAGTGCCAAATGACTTTCATCTTGATCAAAAGGTGGTTCTGACAAGGTTGAACTTTATCTGAGCCCGGTGTACCCTCAGCCATGATGGTTAAGAGATCCCCGCCCCCACCCCACCCCCCCAACCTTTTGTGTTTTGGAAATGGCGAACCAGCTGACCACAAAGGGCCACAGTCACCTCAGAATTTCCAAAAGGGGTCTCATCTCCATCCTTCCTTGTGATTCCCATAACATTCCAAGATGACCCCTCGTTTACCTGTCGCTATAAAATTCTAGGCCTCCTTCCTTTTCTTTGAGATGTTCCTCGTTAATGTGCTTTTTTACTGCAATAGCCACAATAAAGACATCTTCTTAATTATCAGGTGACTTCTCTCTGTTGCAGCCCCAGGAAGACCCTTTGGTGCCAGCCTGCGCATCACCCCTGACTGTCCCACTGAAGCAACTACTGAGACTACCCCCGAGACTCTACTCAGCCCCACTGTGACTTAACCCTGTTGACAGCCACCCTTTCAACAGTTCAAGATGTGAGTAAGCTGAGAGAAGGACGCATGGCCCTAGATACTTTGGGTCCTGGTGGAGTTGTAGAAGGGAGACAGAAAGAAATCAGCTTGACATGCTTCTGAGCTGAGCCAGGGGCAGACACACCCAGTTACGCCTTTAAAGGAAAGAGGAAATGACATTGAGGCAGCTGAGGTCGCAGTCCAGACAGGTGCCGGACAGAACGCAGAGCCACTCGAGTCTGGGAAGCTGTCATGGTGGCCAGTATGAAGGTCAGGGGTGACCCTGAAACACACAAATGCCAGGGGGCAGCTCTATAAGCTGGGGGGAGTGGAAGCCCCAAAGAGGGAAAGTCCAGGGGATAAGACTGGCCAAAAAAGTAAATAAAATGCAAGCCTTTAACAAGCCCCAACCCCTCCCATTCTTCTTCTTGTTAGGGGATGGGGGCAGGCGGGGAAGGCTCCACTTCCCTGGGTGTAGAATGTGCATAGTCAGGGGTGTTTGAAGGCAGCATGCGACAGGATTTGCCACCTCTGCAACTTTACAGGAATCAGAAAGTGGCCTTCCCAATTTCAGCAGGGGCATGTCGCAGAGAAGGGTTAGAAGCCACCATTCTGGAATCATCTCTCTAGTAGCCTGAAGGCTCTAGACATGTGTGGTAGTTTTTTCTTTGACGTGTCAGATATCAGACTCCCCTCAGTGAAGGGAACGTGTCTGGAGTGAGGTCCCGGGGCCAGTGATATCCAGGGAGCCCCTGAGAATTCTCGGGGCCCTTGCATATTCTCTGTGCTCAGGAGGCATCTCACAGTACTAGAGAATCTATACTCACTGGGCAGAGTGTATTCTGTATTATATAGAGACAGGCAGAGCCAGAAAACTCACCAGAGGCAGGGTAAGAGAATGGGTCATGCTTGACCATATGACATGTAGCCAGTGGTCATATTAAAACTATTTAATAACTAGAACCACACAAACACACACTGAGCAGAATGGAATCTGGCTGAAAATCAGGCCTGCATAAAACAATGGTAGGACCTCTCTGGGGTCTGGCTCACTTATTCTTTTTAACAAAAGTGAGGGACAAAAGAATGGATTGGCACATATTAGGCTTTGACCGATGCCTCCAGAATCGAGGTGCCAACTGAGGCCTCGTGGACTGGAACTCAACCTTGATGAGCAGGGCTATGATGGCTGGAAATGGGGCTCTGGTCCTGGAGATCGTGCTCATTATCTTGATGATGTCACCCATAACACCAGCAATTCAAGAGCCTGAGACATGATGGGGGTTCAGGTTTTTGGGGCCTGTGGCATCTGAGGTGGATAAAGGAGGCTCTAGGGGCTTTCTGGGCCTCACCTTGACCTAAGTATATTCTGCCACAAGACCTGACATCTGGGTCCTTCTGGGTTGGTGTCCTGGCAGCAACACATACTTGTGCTCTGTTCCCCAAGGAACATGCTGGAAGGGTAGCAATGGCAGAGGAAACTTCCCATATCCCCTGCACCTTGGAATTCTGTACTGCAGGACCTTGTCCAGGGGCTGCTGAAGGCAACACTCTGTTGCTGGTGCCTGATCGTGTTCTAAGAGTGCTTAGCCACACCTTTTTTTTTTTTTCCACAACAGAGGATCTTTTCAAGTTAGGGTGCCCTCAGCTGGTTCCTGTTGTTTGGGATGGTACCACAAGGTTTTCGTTGAGTGATGGCCTAGGCTAGCTGTTTGAAAATGCCCATCGCTGAAAGTCAAGTGCCCACTCCAAGTGGCCAGGGCTAAGTTTGCCTGCCTCCTAGAGTTGTTTCAAGCCACAGTGGTCAGCCTTCAAGGCCCACCAATGCCAGTGTCCACTGAGTTCATCCCTCCAAGCCGTAAAGCCCCAGGACACAAATTGGTGGCACATAGAACTAGAGTCTTCGAAAAACAGGCATAAGAGCAAAAGTTCTCTAGCAACATGGTGGCCCAAATACATGGTTGGGAAGCTTCTAAGTCAGGCAGACATGGGTGGGCTGAGTTAGGACCGTCTTTTTTTAATCTTTTTAATGGTTATTTATTTTTGAGAGAGAGAGAGAGAGAGAGAGAGAGAGAGAGAGAGAGAGAGAGAGAAGGAGAGAGAGAAAGAGCACAAGCAGGGGAGGGTCAGAGAGAGAGGGAGATACAGAATCCCAAGCATGTTCCAGGCTCTGAGCTGTCAGCACAGAGCCCCACGCGTGGGCTCAAACCCATAAACCATGAGGTCATGACCTGAGCCAAAGTCGGATGCTTAACCGACTGAACCACCCAGGCACCCCTGAGTTGGGGCAGTCTTGAGGACAGAGGAAAGCAGGCCCATGGTTTCCTGAGGAATTTTGGCTCACTTTGGGGTCCAAATAATTTTCCTTTTATTTTGAGAAGGTCCATTGACAAGGTGGTAATGGAAAAGTGAGTTTTTGGATACCTATAGTAAACAGAGAATTTTTATTATTCCTGGGTTTGCTATTTGACTGAAGAAACCTGGTTGTGGTGACCTCAAGTATTTTGAATATATATGTGGGGGAGAGGGCACTGGCCAGGGGTTCATGGTTAGATGGGGCCAGGAGCAGTGGGGCCTCCAGTCGCAAGGACTCATCTGTGCTGTCTGTCTGCCCGTATTGGTGTGCACCAGAGTTCAGAAGTCTCTTTGACACCCTGCCATCTGTCACGACAAAGATTATCATTACCTGCAATTCCAGAGGTAGCCAGATCCTTTCTGCCCTGGGTTTTAGGGTTAGACGGATGGGTCTTAATGCCTGACGAATGATATTATCCTTGGGGGCTAACAGGGGATAGATGCAAAGGAGAATCTATTAAGCTGAGGAATGTGCCATGCGTGGTTCCCTTGGGTGGCTTGCCCATTCGGTGGCGAGGACGTGTGAGTGTGAAGCACACACAGGTGAATGAGCATGTGTGAGAGTAAGCATGAATGTGTGGAAATGTGAGCAAGGTACAGCAGGAGGTGGCCTATAATACTTCTGTAAGAAACCACTGCCCCTTCCCAGCCAGTTCATGCTGGGCTGGTCAGGAATGCAAGGAGATGTAGCTCTCCATCAACCTGCCGTCTTCTGCCTCGTCCATCCCCTACCAACAACAATGAGTTGAGTGTGTCAGGTGAGGCAAGCCCCAGCGGAGGCATACCCGACCTCCCACGGAAGGGCGATCAGTGACCTCTCCCAGCGTGAGCCCTGGCTTACCTTCTGGAAGGAGAAGAAGCATCAGGGATCAGGGCCATCCAGGCCCACACTCAAGCAGAAGCCTTGGCTGGAGTTCAGCCTTCTCAGGGAGAGAGCCCGGGGAAGCTGCCAGCCACTGTGGGTTAGGCTCACTTCTTCCAGAAAGGATTGTTCAGACCTAGAATGGTGCAGAAGACAGGCTCTTCCCCATTCAGGCACAGTCTGGATGACAGTGCACCATGGCACATGCCCGGATTGGTGCAGTGAGGACGCAGCTCATAGACTTGGCATCCGGCCCCCACCTGCCAGCAGGACCCCCAAGAGGGAGCGGAATCTCTTCAGCTATTTTAAGATCATGCAGGAGATGTTATTTGGATCGCCACAGTGGCTGAGGAACGGGACGTAACAGTATATAAGGTGTGTAAAATGCACTGGAGAAGGCCCAGATCAAATTGATCAAACCGGAGCTTGATTTCTTCCAGGCTGAGGATCCATGTATATAGTCACAGTCTCCACGCAGCTCCTGCACACCCCAGCGCATCCAGCCCGAGCAATTCCAAATTCTCTGCGCGCTTTCCCAGCCACCCCCAGGATCCCGCCAGTACATTTCCAGCCATTACAGGAAGAGCTGAGGGAGAGCTACTGACTAAGCAGTAAGCAAGTTTCAAATTAAAGGAGATAAAAATTACTTTCAAAATATATAAAGTATCAACAATGTAACATGTTCATTAAAAGCGTCTATTGTCGGGCGTCTGGGTGGCTCAGTCGGTTAAGTAGCAGACTTTGGCTCAGGTCATGATCTCACGGTTCATGAGTTCGAACCCCGCGTCGGGCTCTGTTCTGACCGCTCAGAGCCTGGAATCTGCTTCGGATTCTGTGTCTCCCTCTCTCTCTGCCCCTCCCCCACTCACACTCTGTCTCTCGCTCAAAAAAGAAATAAACGTTAAAAAATGTTTTTAAAAAGTGTCTGTTGTCTGTTTGTAAGCTTGGGTCGATCCCAAGGGTTCAGATGGCCAGGCCTATTTTATGGTGATTTCACCACAAACCACCCCAGAAGACAGGCCAGGTTGTGGGTAGATGAGATACAGCTAAATACGTAAAATCCCATTGAGTTCACCAATAATCATTGCGTGTGCCCATCAAAGTTACCAAGGAAATTAACCCTAACATGGAATGTTTTCAATTAAAATTACATTAAAACAGCCCATTTTCCATCTCAGCATTTCAAACGTAAGTTCCATGACTGACTGTTTTAACACAAATTATCTCCAAAGAAAAGGCATCTTGATTAAATTAAAGCACATGTTACATCATAGAAAATATTTGTAAACATGTTGTTACTTGCCAAGCTATCTTATGATCAGAAACTCAGTTCTGCGTTTTTGTGTGATCTGTCTTTTCTGAGTATCATCCTGTCGTACAACTTTATACTTTCCTTGAGCAGAATTGGCCCCACTTACATAACCGTATGGTGAATTATGTACAAAACCGAGCTTTTTCACTGGGCTCTGTTCAGCCACAAAGGTAACGTAACAATTGGCAGTTCTACCCCTAGAGTGATTCATTAATAATTCCCTTTCCTCCAAATAATGAGCATCCTGAGTCACTACTTACATGAATTTCTTGGTAAGCTTATTTATCTTGATATTCTAACGTCCTCCCCTGATTCTTGTAACTGAGACCTGCAAAACCGTAAACACTTTGCATCCTGCAAAGAACTTCTCCAGATCCGTACAGATCAGACCTTGATTTTACTCTAAATATTACCCCACCCCATTAAGAAATGAAATCTTTTTGTAAAAAGCATTTCAAAAACCAAATGAAACGTTCAAACGTTACACTCAAGTACAAATACCCAGCTATTCACACACTAACAAAATTTTAACAAAATCGATACAGGGGCACCTGAGTGGCTCGGTTGAGCGTTGGACTTCGGCTCAGGTCACGATCTCACATTCGTGGGTTCAAGCCCCGCGTCGGGCTCTGTGCTGACAGTTCAGAACCTGGAGCCTGCTTCGGATTCTGTGTCTCCCTCTCTGCCCCTAACCCACGTGCGCCCTCTCTCTCACTGTCTTGCAAAAATAAATAAACATTAAAAAAAATAAAATTGATACAACCCAAATTGAACAAATCACTTGTGGAGGGGGGTGGGGTGGCAGTAAGTAGGGGAACTGGCTGGATTCTAAGCTGAGGTAAATTCAGGCATTCTTTCCAGATCTATTTCCATAAACCTAACAGTGTTTTTTCATTTCTTTGAGAATCAGTCGGGAGCTTTGTACCAAGCAATGGGCTCTAGCTTTCCCATTAAAAGGAAAAAAGAAAAGAAAATGTCGTATGTTTTCAGCTGCCAACTTCACAATAATCAAAGTTCATGGTTTCTTGATTCTTTCAGGACTGGCTCTCTGAGGCTGAGGATTATTGTTCTAGATGTTCTTTGCCCCTGGCTGAGTCAGTCACCAGGCTTCATTCTTTGCCATTCCCGGGCTTGGAACCAGCATCTTTTACATTTAAATTGCCATTGTAGGGTTTCAGTGAGGTGATTGATTAATATTTCACCTTTAGTATTTCCTCTTGCTAAATTCTCTCTGCCCTTCCCCTCCCTCAATCTTCCAGCCTTTACTCTAGTCTCACCTGCAAAGTCAGAGCACATCACCCAAGTCTTGCAAGGATACCTCCTAAGGCTCATACAGAGCCTGAGGCTAGGAGTCAAACAATTCACAGAGACTTGGAAGACTTTTTTTTTTTTTAGTTAATTTATTTTGAGAGAGAGAGAGAGAGAGAGAGAGAGAGAGTGAGGGAAGGGCAGAGAGAGGGAGAGAGAGAATCCCAAGCAGGCTCTGCACTGTCAGCACAGAACCCGATGTGGGACTTGATCTCATGAACCGCAAGATCACGACCTGAGCCAAAATCAAGAGTTAACCGACTGAGCCACGCAGGTGCCCCCGAAGACGTTTTACATATGTTGAAGTAATAGGGTTAAAATAGCCAATTTTTCTTGAGTCTCTAGTATGTTCAGGTCCCGTGCCACAGGCTTTCTCGTGTGCTTGTTGATCCAAAAATAAAACAGAAATACCATATTTCATTAAATCCAGCGCACCTTGGCGTTAGACTCACCATTACTTTATGTAACATTAAAAAAACAACAACGACAATCCACAATCAACTATAGGGTAACCTGTCACTGATCGCAAAGTGCATCTGAATTTCAGAGGTGTTAAAGTGCGGGGCGGGGGCAGGGGGGGAGTACAGGTTCAAACTGATGACAAAGAATTTTTCGGAGACGATGGGTAGGGTGGCCAGAACCACAGAGCTAACAAGAGGCAGAGCTGAGTTCAGATTGTTCTAGGGTTCACTGCCTCTCCAGAGGTTTGCAGGCTTTGTTTCCCTGAGCAGTTTCCTCCCCACCACCCCTGCCCGCCAGTAGTCAGGGACCAGGGTCTAAGCCACCTGTCCTGGAAAACAGAGTCTCCCCTTTAAGTTGGCCTGACCGCTAACTGAGCTGAAACAACTAACTGACTTTCGGTGACCGCTTCCCCTCTGCACGGCGCCTAATTATAGAGACCATTCCGCTGGCCGCGGCTACATTATTTTTGGTGGCAGTTGGGTCGGAGGGGAAGGAGTGGGTGTCGGCAAAGGCCACGCAAACTTCCCCAGCTCCCAGGCAGCCAGGGGCCACAGCACAGCGAGGAGATTAACCAAATTGGATTTAGGGAGCTGGAAGCTGCCGGGATAATCCACTCACGCCTCTGCTTATCAGATCTCCCTGCTCCTCTCTGTCTCAATGAGCCGCTGCTCCGCTCCCTACCTCAACTTCACCCCTGCGAGCCGAGGCTCGGTGTCACCAGATGCGAACGCCCCTCTGTGGCGCACGTCGTCTGCTTGTCTGGCTTTATTCATCCATTTGTTTATTCATATTTAGTGAACAGCTACTCTGTACAGGTGCTCTGAAGACGAACGGCAATCAACACACACAGTTCCTGCCTTCGTGGGGTTCATAGCCTAGCAAGGGCCACCGATGGCATCTCAGAAGCTTGCAGCCAGATGTGAAATGACAACGGTAATAAAAGATTCTCAGGAATTTGGGGGGATGGCTCAGTCAGGTAAGCGTCCGACTCTTGAATTCGGCTCGGGTCATGATCTCACAGTTCGTGAATTCGAGCCCCGTGTTGGGCTTGAAGTGCAGAGCTTGCTTGGGATTCTCTCTCTCCCTCTCTCTCTCTGCCCCTCCCCTACGTGCTTGCTCTCTTTCTCTCTGTCAAATAAACAAGCATTAAAAAAATAAAAATAATAAATAAAAATTTCTCAGGAAGGAGCACCTGGGTAGTTCATTCCGTTAAGCATCTGACTTCGGCTCAGGTCATGATTTCATGGTTTGTGGGTTTGAGCCCCGCGTTGGGCACTGTGCAGATAGCTCAGAGCCTGGATCCTGCTTCGGATTGTTTTCCTCTCTCTCTGCCCCTCCCCCACTCATGCTCCGTCCCTCTCTCTCTCTCAAAAATAAATAAACATTAGGGGCGCCTGGGTGGCGCAGTCGGTTAAGCGTCCGACTTCAGCCAGGTCACGATCTTGCGGTCCGTGAGTTCGAGCCCCGCGTCGGGCTCTGGGCTGATGGCTCAGAGCCTGGAGCCTGTTTCCGATTCTGTGTCTCCCTCTCTCTCTGCCCCTCCCCCGTTCATGCTCTGTCTCTCTCTGTCCCCAAAATAAATAAACGTTGAAAAAAAAATTAAAAAAAAATAAATAAACATTAAAACAATGCTTCTCAGAAAAAGCTGCACAGAGACAGTGATCCCCAAATATTCTGTGTTTTCCCCTCCTTTTCCCAACCCCTTTACAGTTTAGGTTGGGGCCATGTGATTAATGCTGGTCAAGAACCTTCAATAGATGTGCTGTGTGGGGCCTCCGTGGAAAGACTTTGAGAGCTGGGATGTCAGTTTCAACTCTCTTTGCTCTGCTTGATGACCTTGGGCACCGGGTGTTCCAAATGGCGTAGCTACAGGATCAAGGAGGGCTGGCTACCCGCCCCACATGGAACTTTATGGTTAGGAGAAATAAACCTCTGTTGGTCTTGCTCACTGAGATCTCAGATTTGACTCAGTAGCTGATGGTAATTCCCTTAACCAATATGGAATCACATGTTCCTATGAGGGAAAACAGAGAAAGAACTGATCAAAGGGTCAGGAGAGACATTCTTAGGAAGAGAGATTTAAGCAGGGTCAAAAGGAAGAGTGGGAGTTAACTTGGAAAACAGTGTGGGGACGAGTATTCCAGGAAGATTGACAGACAGCTTGTACAAAGGCCCTGTGGCTAGAGGGTGCAGGACACATTTGGTGAAATGGATACAGGACAGAGGGGCAGGAGGAGCTCAGTAAGAGGGGCTCATCTACTCGCTGTCAGGCTGATCTGAGACAAAGCCTCATGTCCAGGCCACACACTGGGATGCCAACGCTTCCCCAACTCCCCTGGACTGCCACGGCCTGCAGGATGGGTCACCCAGGCTGGAAACGGGGTCAGCTTTGCCCTCCCACCCTCGTTGGCCCCTCACGGCCAGTGTCTTGCCCATGGTCTTTCCCTCTGTTGCTGTGTCTATTCTTCTAGTGGGACCCGAGGGCCCCGGGGACGGGGTGGAGGCAGGAGTCCTGGGAAGCTCTTACTCAGCATTGCTGGGGCATGGAACCTGAATACTGTTACAGGAGCCTCAGGGTAGCTGGGCAAGAAGC